GGCCTGCTAAAGGGAAAAAAATATAAAAAATCAGTTTTATCAAGTGTGCAAGAATGCCAATGCCGAAGTTCTGGAATGCCGCTAGAAAGCTCCTCCTGGTTTTATCAAGGTAATTAAACTCTGACGCTGCCATTTTCACTTCAAATATGGTGGGTTTAGGGGGGGTAATGCGGGATGATGTGGGGGATGTTGTTGCAGCCACTTGCTTACAGATTGAAGGCAAATTTGCTGTGGATGTGGCCGAGGCTATGGCTTTGAGACACTCTTTAGTGATTACTATGGAGTCGGGCTTTTTGAAGGTGTGTCTGGAAACTGACAACCTCAAGGTGTATCATAGTTCCTGCCATTCTTCTGCTTGCTAGTTCCTGCCATTCTTGTACTTGTGCCTTTGTGAAGAGAGATGGAAATCGGGTAGCTCATAGTTTAGCTAAGCTTAGTTGCAATTTTAATTCTCTTAGAGTATGGTTAGAAGAGTATCCAAGTGAGATACATGATTTTGTAATGGCTGAATTAAGCCTTTCTTCTGATTAATATTTTTGCTTGTTTTTCCGTCAAAAAAAAATGTTTTTAAAAAGGAAAAAAACTCCTAAATTCTACTGAATATGAGTCATAGTAATACACGTGGAGTAAGTAAGACTAAAAAAGAAAAAAGAGAGTGAAAAAACGTACAGAATTACAGCTAATTTTATCTTTTTTTTTTTTAATACAATTATAGATTTACAGCTACCTTACCTATTCCACGTGATAATGCTTTACCATTTCCAATTCCACATTTTATAATTCTACTAGTACAGTACTTTATATCAATATTTTATAGGGGACGGCGAAAAATAAGGTAATCCGTCCCCGAAACGTCTCTGAAGTTGCTCCCAGTCATCCCCAAATTTTCTTCCCGTACCACTTTTCAAGGGTACGCCTTGGGGATGTATTCGGGCCGTACCCGTACCCGATACGTCCGCGGTACGGGAAACGCCAAGAGGTTGGCGTATTCGTGCATCATTGGTTTCAAATGAAGTATAATCCAAGACCCATTTTTCTCAGCAGAGAGGAAGAGGCGTTTCCTTCAAAAAATTGGGTTGACGGTGGAATCGGTGGCGAGAGCTTGATGGTGAAACCGTGGAATTGGTGGCGATGAGCATCTTGAATGAGGTTGAGAAGTTGTGCCGTAACTTCTTTTGGGGTCAAAAAGGGGATGAGAGAAAGATGAATTGGGTGGCTTGGGATAAGCTTTACATTCCAAAGAAGCAAGGTGGTCTTGGATTCCGGAATATGAAAAGCTTCAATAGAGCCCTCCTTGCTAAACAAGCATGGCGCATTCTCACTAAGGAAGACTCCTTAATGTCTAAAGTTCTCAAAGGAAAATATTTCCTGAACACATCTTTCATGGAAGCAAAAATTGCCTCTAATTCGAGCTACATACACTTGGAGATCAATTCTAGGGGCTCGTGATGTCCTTTCGAAAGGCATTAGGAAGATTTTGGGGGAATGGTACATCTCTTGACATATGGAAGGACCCGTGGGTTCCTAGTCTCACTGGTTTTTGTGTGTTGAGCAATCGTGGTTCGAATGATGACAGTCCAGCCAATGTAAGTGACTTAATAGATAATAGAAGGTGGAATGTGCATACTCTCAATTACAACTTCTCACCGTTGGAAGTGCAAGAAATTCGCAGCAATATTCCCATCCTCCTCTTTGACAGTCCGGATTCATGGACTTGGCATTGGACTAAGGATGGAAGATTTTATGTTAAGAGCGCGTACAATTTGCTTATTATGGGGAGTGATCGAGAGACAGCTACTGCCTCTTCGGCCATGGTTGCCTTTGACTGGAATTGTATATGGAGTGCTGACATCCCCCGTAAGATTAAAATTTTTTGTTGGCGTGCAGTGAGGGGGGCTGTTGCAGCTCGGGCAACTTTGATTAGACGGGTATGCTTGTGGATTTTACATGTCCTATGTGTGGTGATTCGCAATAATCAATTTTGCATATGCTGGTGTCTTGTAATGTGGCAAAATTGATGTGGTATCTCTCTCCTTTGAGGTTGGAAGTAGAGAATTTTGAAGGCAACAACTTTGTTGAGTGGTGTGGAAAGGTGAGAGTGGCGTTTAAGGACCACTGTTGGTGGAACATTTTCTAGAGCTTGGTGTGGGGAATTTGGTTACGCAGGAACGCTTGGGTTTATGATGGCAAAAAGAAAGATATGGCTGATGTTATTTATAAAGCTGTTAGCATTGTAGGGGAATTTGAGAATGCAAAAGAGCAAGAGTGCAAGAATACCAATGCCGAAGTTCTGGAATGCCGCTGGAAAGCTCCTCCTTCTGGTTTTATCAAGGTAATTAAACTCTGACGCTGCCATTTTCACTTCAAATATGGTGGGTTTAGGGGGGGGGGGGGTAATGCGAGATGATGTGGGGGATGTTGTTGCAGCCACTTGCTTACAGATTGAAGGCGAATTTGTTGTGGATGTGGCCGAGGCTATGGCTTTGAGACACTCTTTAGTGATTACTATGGAGTCGGGCTTTTTGAAGGTGTGTCTGGAAACTGACAACCTCAAGGTGCATCATAGTTCCTGCCATTCTTCTGCTTGCTAGTTCCTGCCATTCTTGTACTTATGTCTTTGTGAAGAGAGATGGAAATCGGGTAGCTCATAGTTTAGCTAAGCTTAGTTGCAATTTTAATTCTCTTAAAGTATGGTTAGAAGAGTATCCAAGTGAAATACATGATTTAAGCCTTTCTTCTGATTAATATTTTTGCTTGGTTTTCGGTCAAAAAAAAATGTTTTAAAAAAGGAAAAAAACTCCTAAATTCTACTGAATATGAGTCATAGTAATACACGTGGAGTAAGTAAGACTAAAAAAGAAACAAGGGAGTGAAAAAAACTTACAGAATTACAGCTAATTTTATCTTTTTTTTTTTAAATACAATTACATATTTACAGCTAACTTACCTATTCCACGTGATAATGCTTTACCATTTCCAATTCCACATTTTATAATTCTACTAGTACAGTATTTTATATCAATATTTTATTTGGGACGTCGAAAAAGAAGGTAATCTGTCCCCGAAACGTCTCTGAAGTTGCTCCCAGCCGTCCCCAAATTTTCTTCCCGTACCACTTTTCAAGGGTACGCCTCGGGGATGTATTCAGGCTGTACCCGTACTCGATACGTCCTCGGTACAGGAAACGCCAAGAGGTTGGCGTATTCGTGCATCATTGGTTTCAAATGAAGTATAACCCAAGACCCATTTTGCTCAACATAGAGGAAGAGGCGTTTTCTTCAAAAACTTGGGTTGACGGTGGGATCAGTGGCGAGAGGTTGACGGTGAAACCGGGGAATTGGTGGCGTTAGATTTCCGAGTGGTGGAATTGGTTGGTATGATGAGAAGGGGGTTTACGATGAATATCAATTTGAGGCATCGTTCGGGACATTCACTTGTTAAGAAATTAAATGAGCACATGTATTATTAGTAACAAATCAAAGTTATTAAGTACTTGTATCTATTTTTTGTTAGACAAAAATAACATAACCTACGTCGGATGTATACATTATGCGTGGTCAAGATCTACACCATCCAGTTAAAGTATAGATAAAAAAAAAATCGATGAAATGAAAAACGAACGAATACGACAAGTATTGTAAATTTACGATAGAGATCAAAATACAATACATAATAACACGAAGTACAAACTACTTTAATGGATATTGTCAATAAACCTGTTCAATGGGTTGAGTCAATGGAGGGGTCCGTAGGGTTAGTAAAATTGGTAAATTGTGGCTCACATTAAAATATAAGTGGGGCGGGTCGGGTCGAGACCATTCATTTTGCCCCGACCTTTTTACTTTTGAAAAAAATTACATCTATTTCTATCTTTTCCATAAATAAACTGGTATATTGGTCTTTGACTTTTTATATCCATTATACCAAGTGTTAAACTATAGAGAGAAACAAAAAAATTTATAGAAGAACCATAGAAATATGGTTTATAATAGATTGAAAAAAGAAAAACAAGTCGAACTCAGATTTAATTGGAGAACTAGGTTAGGTCCCATGTCACACACTGTAATTCAATAACTATTTATAAAATTAACACTATATTATATTTTTTGACTTTCATATGTTATAATCATATCAATTGAATGTTGAAAATCAACAAAAATGGTAGGATAAATTACACTAAGAATAATAACATGTGTCGTTCTTGCAAAGAAGGAATTATTGAAGTATTCATAGATTACTAATCGATTGAAATTCTAATCATTATAAATTATTCAAGGAAATGAAAAAAACATCATTTGATGATTTGAATATAAACGGATGAACATAGCCCTGTGCCCCTATCTTGTGCCTCTTCCTCCTCTCGCTCCTCCCTCTCTCTCAGTTCTCCGGTGAAGTGCACTCAGCGTCGCACTTGACGTTCGTCATTACAAACTATTTGTTGCTTCTGAGGTAAATTGTCTCTTTCAGTAATCATATCAATTTCACAATCTAGGGTTCATCTTTGATCTTATTTAATTTATGTCAGTGCAGTGAATTTAGGGTTCGAAAATCTCAACTATTGGTTCTAAATACTAAGATTATGAAAGATCATTACAAGCGACTATGTTGCTAGAAAAGGAAATTATGAGCCTCATTGATTCACATATCCCTGAAATTATGTTTGTTTGATAATTGAATCAAATTTGGTTGCTTTAATGTTAGGATTGAACTATGAAATTAGACCTCTTCTTCCTGAGCCCTGGGTGGCCGCCCCTTCTGCCCTCTGCTTATTTTCATTCATTGTGTTGCTTTCATTTTAATTTCAATTAATAAGTTAATCGTACGATAATCATTGATTAATGTAGTTGCTTTCTTTTAAGAATTCAATTTTTAGCATTACAATTAGTAATTTAGTTGCATTCTTTCTAATTTGATCTACTAATTCAACTAAATTAATGTAGTTTCTTTGTAATCTGATTCATTATTTGATTTTTATCATTTTCATCAATAATTTACTAATGTAATTTTTGAATTGGCCAATAAAATTATTAATATCTTCAGGTGATGATGGCATCAAAAATTAATGAATCGCAACTAAAAATTTGCCTACTAGTGGAGCATGGAACTGATGAGATGCCTCATTCGCTGTATACGATTGACCTACCAAGTGATCTGGAGCGGCAAAGGGAGGTCGATTCTGAGGGGTTTCAAGTGTTGTCACCCTTGGTAGTCTTCCCTCAGCGTAAGTTTCTGTACCGCACTGAATTCGTTAACCTCGGATCGAAAGTATACATCTTTGGAGGTGTTAGATCTGATAAGCTTGACGAAGACCTATATAGAGCTGTACATGTCCTTGACATGAACGATCCTAAGCATGGGCTGCGCCGAGTTGCTTCCCTGAATGCCTCCAAGGAATGTCTTTGTGCGTTTGTGGCTGATGGTATGGTTTACACGCTTGGGAAAGCCGAGAGAAAAGAAGCATCCGGCAAGTCAGGTTGTTTCGAGCGTTATATTCCTCGTATTGACAGGTGGGAAGTCCTTCCTGACCCCCCACTTCCGTGGGTTAAGCTTTTTACAGCTGATTGGACTGGTCGTGTCACGGTTGTGGGTCGTGAGGTCTTCATAGGGAGTTATGGCAGTTATGCCATTTTTAACTTGGATACGTTAGAGTGGGCTGAACCGCCATCTGCAACTCTGGCTGAATGTTTCCCTTATGGTGCGCTTTATGTCGATGGCTTCCTCTACCACCTAAGGGGAGGAGAACTTTGGAGGAGACCAGGTGCAGTTTGGGATCCTCACGATGTTCCTGAGGCTCTACAGATTGTTAGGAGAGGCCCCTTTCCCAAACATGATGGTTTTGGTAGTAGCAGCAAGGATATTCTCAAGAGCGCCTCTTTATAACCTGGGAAAGCGCAGGTCATGTCTACAGCTGCCGAATTAGCCGGCGAAGACAATACCTTCTTCACACATAGAAATTTTGATCCTTGGCGACTTCTCCTCCACTTGGGGGGCCCTTACTTCTGCTATCTTGTCACTGCCCAAAATATAAACTTGAAATGCCAAACGGTTGATTACTACACTCGTTTTGTAGGGATCATGATCTTTAAGAAGCCCCAAGGGGAAAATATCAATATTAGTGAAAGCTGTCTTGTATCCTCGTTGATCTATAGAATCCAGACCCCGTTCCGTAACTTTGCATATCGCATCCGCTCCTGCGTTCTTGGTGATGTCCCGGAATGTAAGTTTTGTCTTTTCTCCCTTTGTTGTCTTTAAAATTAATGTGGTCTGATTGGTGGATTGCATGAGGCAAAAGAAGATTGCTTTCTTTAATATGTAGCTGCGATGGCTTTAGTTGTAGTCTGTAAAAAGTTGCCAGCTTATCTTTGAATTCATGTTATTTTTCTTAAAATCTTTAACTTACACTATCAGATTTTTAATGTCTATGGAGTAAGGACCTTAGTATGAGCCTTGGTTGCATGGACTTGAATACTTGAGCTTTGCTGGACTACGAAAGAACTTTTTGTAATTGAACAAAACTTCAAATGGGTTTTTTATGTTTGGGCTCACCAATTACTATAACGAGTTTGAGACGAGCAATGGCCCAATTTGACAAGCACGTTTTGAGCTAGAGGTTATCGAACTTGGCGAGTATAGATCACATTGTGTTGAGCACAGTTCAACTACGAACTACTCACTCAGCAAGAATCAGAAGCTGTCTGGTTACTCTGTCGGGTACATTGTGATAAGTAATGATATGAGTTTATGCATTGATAGGCCTTTCAACATGATATCTTCTGATAGCTGTGCTAGAAGCATGATCTTCTTGTGCTGCTGTGCATTGCTATTATTATTGCTGTTCTGACTTCTGAGATGTCAAATGCATGTGTTCAATACTGCAGTCAATATGTATGGTTTTGCAATTGAATTGCTGATTTGTGTTCAGATTAAGATTTTTTAATTGCTATTGCATGAATTACATACACTATGGTTGGATAGCATTTATAGCAACGTGGAGGGAAAGGTAGGAAGATAAAAGGGATTTTTCTACTAAGATTGGTGGATATATCAATCAATCAAAGATTGGTGCATATACAATTGTTAAATTTATAATTACAATCATGTTTGGTGGTCTTGAGTAAATCTTAATTATCTGGCGTATCTTAAAATGCAGCCTGGAATAGAGTGGTGCCAAACAAAAAGCAGGAAAGCAGCAGGAGGACTAAAAAGAATGAGCTCTTTCATATGGCTGCGACCCAGCAGGGTAATGGGTCAAAGGAATCTAAAACAGAGAACAATGTCCGTGTTGGTGATGTTGAGGAGGTTGGCAACCTTAAGAAGGTTTTGGCAGGTAGATTACTAATATCGTGTTGTCCTATTCATTTGTCCTTAATTTTCAATTCCATCCGGTACAGTTGAAACGAACATGGCTTAACTCTCTACTTGGCAAGTTTTATTCTGAATGTGTTATTGGTAATAGTGTGTTTTTTGTTGCAGCTCAAGAGGAAGAACTCAGCAGGCTATATTCTGAACTGACAAAGAAGGATGCACTTTTGAAGACCTATGAGGTGGAGTTGGTTAAGAACAAACTTTCGATTTAGTGGAGAGATGGAAGACTAATGGTCCATTTCTTTGTGATCTCTGGTGTATCGTGTAATTTTAGATGGGCGCTTACAGTGGTATGAGATAAGAAAGCAGAAGTATTTAAAGTAATAAGTATTTATGTGTAGACTTTAATTGTTAATAGAGTTAAGCTTGGAAACACCGTGAACTTTCACTGTTATAACTATTGTGCTACTACTTTAGTTTTTGTTCTTGATCTTGCCTTGACAACTGCATTATCATATATACGTGGTAGCAAAGAATATTTTCTTGCCAAAATCTTTTAAAAGAATATTTGTATAATATGATTTCCTTTTGTCATATTTTTGGGTAATCATGCCTTTTAGGTTTCAATGACTTAATCTATTAGCATTCTTTTATTAAGTAACCAATGACTTAAGGGAATATGATCAATACAAAAGTCTGAAAGAATTCTTTTCTTGATTCTTCCCCTTATTTTGCTTTCTCAAAGGAAATAATACTGTATTTTTAAGCTTAATCAATGGGGTCATGGAGAACTGCTTTTACAACACCTTTCATATCATCAGAAGTATACCCATCATCCTTCATGTAGAAAAAGTGCAGCACCTTGCTCATTTTCCAGAACACTTCCCTGCAAACTTTTGGAACTACACCTACATCGCCTCGCAATACTATTCTCAGCAGCTCTCTTCTTTTGTCTTCAATTGTCTGTCTTATTTCTCTAATAGCATCTTCTTTGCTTATAGTTCCATTTTCGCGAAGCATGTGTAAGGACACTGCGTTTAGCTTCCCTTCCTCTGCTTCTCTCTGAGGCAACAACCAAGATATTAATCTTCTTCTAAGGGTGTGTTTGGTTTGATATAAAAATGTTTTCATGGAAAATGATATTCCTTCCTCCTCTCATCCAGGAAAGCTAGTATGCAATTGTGGTTTTCCTTGGATATATGTTTTCCATGAAGACTAATTTTTCATTGAATATGTTTTACATCAAACCAAACAGAACCTAAATAAAAGCAACCAAACTAATCCTGTTTGGAGGTGAGAATGACTAAAGTGACTTACCTGAAATCCTTGATAATCGTTGAGGAGGCGGCCGCAAGTGCTCATCAACTTGAATAGATTATGGTACTCATTACTTCTAATAACCTCCTCAGATAGCTTGGGACCGATGAAATACAGAGCTGGAAGAACGATTGGCCCCAAGGCAAAAGATATGTAGCCATTGTCCATGTATTCTTCCTCTGTAGGCACTGACTTGTTCCTCGCCATCTCTGATTCTTTCCACATTGACTTTACGAGGGTCAACCACTGTCACACAATCAGTCCCAAGGAACAGATTAAATATTACCCCATCTCATGGCTTGCGTATTATGGAAGAACAACAAAGAAAATAAGAAAGCTTACAATCTCAACCAAATGATTAGTTATGTTACGATCTTGCCAAGTACATGCTTTTTCAGCAATTTCATAAATTGTGTCCTGGACCGTTGAGAATATAACGTGAACATTCTCCGAACAGGTTTGGATACTCTTACCTGCATCCCACCTGCCAATTTCAGCTGGTTTTCAATCACACGACGCAATTTAGGGGGAGAAAGAGTTGTGGCTTGTGCGTTTAGGGAGAAGTGGGGTAAGAACACATACTTGTCAAACAACTGAATAAGATTTAGTTGCTCCTCTTCTGAGCTGCCAACATCAAAGAAGTCATCAACCACAGTAGTCAGAACGCCGTTCTTTGCCCATGAAATGCGTGCATCAGCTAGTTCAGGGGAGGAAAAGCTTGCAGCGGCAGAAAAGTAGCAGTAGCTAAGCTTCTGCCTAGAAAAGGCTAACTGGTCCAATTTACACTCTGCAAGCCATCTGCTTTCACATGGAAAATAATTTTGGAGCGCTTTATGAGAAGTTGAGAACATAAGAAACCTACATTACAAGTGTAAAAGAAGTTAGGGCAGTTTATACCTCTGAAGTTGTTTAAATTCCTGGAAATGTATGGATTGGCAATAGCTGAAATCATCCTTTGCTAGTTGTAGGAGAACTTTATTGCAGAAGTTAGTGCAGCTGAGATATGAAGTGAATTATCATGAACACTTGAGAACAGATAGGCAATTACAAACGGAAATATTATGAGTCAAACATGATACAAATTCGGAAATTTATCAGTCGCTTACCTTAAAGAAGACTTCAAAATCCTTATTTCATCCAAGTTATTTTGTTCAATGAGTTTTCTGCTTTGCAAGCGCTCTAAATTTGCATGGTAAGGGCTCTTTAGGCTGTCAGCAACCTGTGAAACAGAAAGGTGAGCCTAAGAGATGCCCTCCGAGTGTTCTTTAGGAAAGGCATGTATTTATGAACATATTACCTCTTGGATAAGATTTTTTCTGAACCTGTCTGCTTTTGTTGAATGTTCAGAGATTCTACCTTCAAGAAAGTGCCTTGAATTTGTTGCTTGCTTCTCTAGATAAGATTCATGAGCATATATTCTAAGTTGAGATGCCCTAAAGAGTTCCAAAAGAGATCTGATGTCCTCCGAGTGTCCTCCGAATTGGTGAAAACAGCAGTCTTCATCATGGACTTCAGCCAACAGTTCTATTAAAACAAAATAATATATGCATGTTCATTCAAGAAGTAGAATATATTTTCACCACCAAAATCATACATAGAATATCTTATTACCATTGAGATCAAACACCAGGTTAATGATAAGTATAAAAACATACCTGAAGATACATCATATCCATCATCACGTAGCAACCGAAATGCCATCCTAGTGGTAATGACATCAGAAAATATCTCTTCATTTCCTTGCTCCCACAGTCTGCCCATTAACAATAAGTTCACAGATTATAAAATATACCAACTAGAACTAACTTTAATGATATACTACATACTTTCATCAAATGTTATTTGATCAACACGTATACTACATGCTCAAATCTTACCTGAAAGTTTCATTCAACGCAGAAGCAATCTCTTCTTTAAAATACCCATTGATTCCAAATTTTTGAAGGGTGTCAACCATATGAAGCCGGAAATATGCATCAAGTGGGTATGCAGTTGGGACTGAAAATAAAGAAAGACCGTAAAATTAAAGCATAATACATAAATGTTAATACTGTAGAGATAGCAGAAATAAGCAGGTAACCTGCATTTGCAAATTTCTGCAATACTGAAGACAGATAGCTGTAACAATTTGGATCTTGGAGCGCAGAAAAAGCAGCTGCTGTTGTGGATGGTGAATTAAACAAAGAGCCATTCTTCCTTTGATAATCCATTACCATTTTCCAGTCTTGTGATCCTCCCATTGCTTCCGAAATATATGCCAAAAATAAATTCCTTGCCTTGGAGTCTTTTCCACGGATTCTGACAATAATACAGAGAAATGTTATGTTTTTGTTCTGAAAGAACAGAACTTCATCATCCAGTATAAGCTGCACTTGCATGGATTCTGACAGCTCTTAAATGAGAACTGTAAAGTGTAAACATCCCAAGAATCACGGCTATAAATAAGAGAACTGGAATGAAACAGTATACCTTTTGAGCTCTAAATCCTTCTTTCGAAGCACAGCATCAATATCTGAAGGCGCCAAATGAAGATTCACTTCCATATTAAGAGCCTTCTCAATCATACTAGGAAAAATGACATCAAATCCAATCGGAGAGTGCTGCTCTTCATCCATTGCCGAAGCAAAATGTGACACAATAAAGTCAAGGCCTGCCAAAGGGAAAAAAAAAAATCAGTTTCTTCCTCTAAGAAATTCATGCAGCAAGTCCCTAAGAGTTTACCCTTTGTCGTCTGTTCTTCTCCTACAGACCATCTTTTGAGCGCGAGGACACATGCCAGTGTGGAAGAAAGCGAGTCTTTAACTAGAGAACTATCTCGATGACCAAGAACACCCCAAGAACCATCATGCAGCTGGTTTTCCAATATCCAGTCAATACTCCCTGGAAAACAAGGAGTGCTTGACGCTGCAGGAGAAGGGGCCATTGCTACCCACGCAGTGTCATAAGCTGATGTTGAAAGTTCAGCTTTTCGAAACATGTTTCGTATTCTTTCTTTGGCATCCTCAAACCTCTGATTATCGAGTTTGACATATCTAATTAGTTTACATACGGAGTTCGCAAGAATGTAGAATAATGAAATGATAAATTACACTACCTGTATATCAGCATTAGCTGTTCTGTTTATAGAACAAGATATTCTACAAAATTCTGGCCAAGTAATAACAACAAAGTCAGAGATTGTGCCAGAAATCGTCTAGTTACAATAATACCGTAATAATACCTCCGGAACATATTATATGCAACTTTTGCCAAAAACGGAAATTTCACATTAAATACAATTTTTCCATACTTTCCTTTTTTTAGTAAATTTTTTTAATTAAATTACTCAAATACCCTTACTCAATATATCATAGATACAATTGAACAACTAAATCAGAATTCATTAGAACAATAATTTAAATTAATTAACATAATTTTTCTCACCCAATTCAATTCATCCAAAGCAATATCCAATTAACAATCAACCTAAACTCAAAAAATTCATTCAACTTCCATTCATGTCCATCTTTCACAACTCCTCCGACCACCACCGTCAACGTCACCGGCCACCACCACCTTCAAGATTCCCGCTTCCGCCTCCGCCTCCGCCTCCGGTGTACCTCAACCCCTGCGCACCACCTCCTCCAACCACCGTCCACAACAACAGCAACAGCAAAACATCAGCCGCATCCACCACCACCATCGACACCAACAATAGCCACAACCACCTCCCAACGCAATCTCCTGCTCCAACGCACATACCTTCGCCCACCATTCACACCTCACCTAGCACCGATCCACCACCAAACCGCTGCACACCGTTGGTGTGGGTTCAGGGTGTTTAGGGTGTTTTGGGGTGAGTAAGGGTAGGTTTAAGGTGGATCGAGGTGAGTGGGAGATGATTTCCGGTGTTTTGGGGTGAGTGGGGGGTGATTTCGGGTTGGTTTAGGGGTGGTTTCGGGTGAGTCGGGTGGTTTAGGGTGAGTGGAGGTGGTTTCGGGTTGGTTATGCGGTGGTTCAGGGTGAGTGGAGGTGGTTTCGGTTTGGTTTTGCGGTGGTTCAGGGTGAGTGGAGTTGGTGCCGATGAGGCTGTTGGTTAGGCTACGGTGTTAGCCTAATGGGGTGACTGTTGCTGTTGGTGGTGGTTAATTATCTTCATTCTCTCTACTATCCTTAATTACATACTCTTTAATCCATTAAATAATTATTATGAAATTTTGTCTTTGGTTCCATGAGATCTCCACATATAATATGATCCGAAGGTAGTACGAGTACAATAAATGTACATACGCCATAATTGTAAGGTCTAACAATGTTTTATAGGACTTAACGCACGTGCACACATACAAGCGAAAACAGGAATTAGATAAATTTATAAAAATGGGAAAAAGAGAGAAGGGGAAAAACCTGGTGGGAGACGAGGACAGCAGCTGAGTTGGTGGGGAGAAAAAGAGAAAGACATGAAGAAACTTGGCAATCAGAAACCCAAAAACGGATTTCAAAACAGAAAAACCCTGAAATTGATCAAAATTCAAATTTTCTGAATTTCTTGGAATTTGATACTTGGTATTTATGTTTGACACTAGAAAACAAATTTTATACGGAGTACAAGTATAACTTTTTTTTTTTTTGGGGGGGGGGGGGCTTTTGTGTTCTTTAATATTACCCCATTTCCAAAAATGGTAGTGTATCACATTTTTGGCACAGTTACTCAAGTATAATTCAAACACTGTGAAATGAAAGTGATAAAGCTCCTCTTTCTATTGTCTGCTGTCCTACTTTTTCTTTGACTTTATCATGTGTGATTTGTTTCCAAAATGAGGGAAAGGTGGATTTAATAGATGATTTATTACCATAAAATTTTGATCCTTTTCTCACAGAAGGAAAAAAAAATTACAGTAAAAGAAAAGATTTACATTGTCGTATGTACTTTTAATTACACTTCATTATGAAAGATTAAGTACAAAAAGGTTAATGCAATCAGATAAGTTCTTATCAAGTGGATAGAACGTTAGGTGAATCCTTCAAATCATATTTTCTGATGGAATCATTATATAGCAGCAACCAATATCACTTTTCCAATTTTTTGTTGATTAATTAAGAAGAAATTGAATATTAACAATAATTAAATAAAAAAAAAAAGTTATAATTGTAAACAGTATCACCTTAAGGAAGTTAAAAGTAAAAGATATTCAAGCAACATTCTAGAGTCAAAAAAGAAAAAAGAAAAAAAAGTAAAAGCTTTCACGAAGGGTTCTCCCTGTTTGAGGTGCTCAAATTCGAGATTTCCAGAAAATGAAACAAATTACAAATATATTCAGTAAAATGCACTGGAAAGAATGTCAATGTGCCTTCTTACAAATCTTTCGTTCTAATGCAGAGCAACAAATGTATTTTGGCGAAAATTGGAGTTGCAAGTTTAAAAATCCACAGGAAACAGATCATACACAATTCCTAAGTGAATCCCCTGCCCCTTGGAAGAAAAAATAAGAAAGAACGAAATCTGCAATAAAGATACCAACCAGAGATAAAACAACAGCTGAAGTAGTTGACTCCCCAACACCCTTAGCACCACCAATGGTTGTTACACCCCAAGCACAGCTCACGATTGCAATTATTCCACCAAAAACCTGGGACTTCATCATGGCACTAATAATATCCCATGACCGAAGTGCTCTCCGAGCAGAGTCCAAAATCATTATGTAGCTAACTCCATAAACACTATCAGCCAAGAAGGCACTAGCTGCCATCCCCACTATGAAACACATCAGGGTCAAAAAAGGCAAAGCTACACAAGAAGCAATTACCCTAGGTGTGACAAGGTAATCGACAGGATTTGCCCCGAGAACTCTCAGTGTGTCAGTCTGCTCAGAGACCTGCATGGTTCCGAGCTCCGCAGCAAAAGAACTTCCAATACGACCTGCCACCACAATTGATGTAACCACAGGGCTTAGTTCACGAGAGAAGGCAAGAGCTAAGACCCCACCAATGGATCGGTTCAGCCCTAACCGGGTGAATTCCCGAACAAATTGGATAGTAAATGCCATCCCCACAAAAGCTGATGTCAGAAGACAGACCCCAACTGATTTAGGACCAACTCTTTCCAGCTGTTGGAGGGTGTTTTTCCAGTGGATTTTACCCTTGAGAGCCCTATATATTACTTGCCCTGCCAAAATGAGAACTGATAAGCCCCTCCACAAGTACCTAGGAGGTGACCAGTTGGCAAATAAAGTCTCCATCTCAAGAGTGGGAGAATGATTTATGCTTGAGCTTTCATCGGTTGGTACGGCATCTGGAAAATTGTCATTGGAATTAGGAATAGCTGACAATGCTGTACGTTGGATGGGTTTTAGTGAATGAATAAATCTTCCAGCAGCATGAGGTCTTTGAGCACAGTGAGAGAAAGCAAGTGTTCTGATTTCGGTCCATTTAAAATGTCCAGTAGTATCTCTCCTGCAGTTGGTCCAGCAACTCTGGGACTTAAAGCTAAAATTCAAAAAGGAAAATAATTCAATCATTAGGCGCAGGAAACTACAACAGTAGTCTATGAACTACTTCAAAATGGAACAAAGAGGAGATACCTGCTAGAAATGCAAGGCATGGACTGCAATAACTGAACTGTATGCATGATCAGTCCTTCTATTCAACTCTTAACACAGTTTTATTCAGAAAATAATGCCCTAAATCCCTACTTTTCCCAGTAGAGGTGGTGGAAAGGCATAACGCCTCATGCCAGAACACTCCTTTAGCTGGTAACCAGGCAACCTAAATCAGTTGATAGTAACAAAAAAGTTCGAAAATATAAAGATGATGGTTCATAGAATGGAAGTGTGCAATTTTGAAAGCTGAGAAGCCAACACTAGCTATTCTAGTACTAAGCTAGATGTAACAATACGATCAAACAATCTAAAGTGGCCTCAAAACTTTAATCTGGACAGTTAAACTTCAAAAGGGAGATATTTGAGTGTCTTCAAAGATAAAAGCACTAGTCAAATGAAAAAGAAGCAGCCTGAACACAAGGATTAGTGTGTTTTTTTTTTTTTTTCCTCCCCAAATTCTCTTCAAATAAATCTCTCTCAAATTTGCAACTGGCAGTCTGGCACACTATCTCTGGATTCTCTGGTACATTAGAACTTTTATACTGATGGTTTGGCCACAACACTATCACATGAATACTCAATGATAATTGTGATTGTCTGACAAAGCCCACAAATTGACAACAAAAAGATTCATAATAATGGAAAGAAGCCAAGAGCATCGTGAATACTAAAGAAGTCCATAACTTTAGAGCAAAATCATGATCAGCTTGTTAGAGTTTTCTTTTGCCCAATTAGAGCATCATTTAACACTACACCTGGATCCTTAAATCCATTTCCCCAATAGCTAAAAGTCCTTTCATGCAGTCAATTAACTTGCTTTTTAGATGTAATTGCTCCTAACGACTTCAGCCTATGTAACCACCTATTTCCATGGTAGAAGGCCAGAAGCTAACAAGCAGCGTATTTACAAGTTTACATTCAACTTGCAGTTCGGAAAGAGTTTCAAGCATGAGGTAACATTATAAACAGGGATCATGCTAGGTAAATAATACTCCTACTTCACAAGGACTCTAACTCCGTATGAGCATCAAAAGACTCGATCCTGCCCGAACCCATTGGAAGCAATTAAGATACTTCATCCAAAACTAATCAATATCAAGGACCTGCCGTCCATCCATTCAAATATCCTCCGGTAAAACGAGTAATAGGTTGTTAACAACCAATTAGACTAACCCTACACATAATAAACCGTTTAATCCCTCTCTCAATCAAATCCCTAACACAAAATCACCTTTTGACTCCTACCCAGATATCTAATTTCACAAATTCCTCTTAGTTTCTATATTTTCACCGATTAAAACCTCATTTTCTCCATAATTAAAGCTCTAATTAGTACTTTTTCAGCCACATTGAGTCTATCTCTCAAATAAGAATAGCTATAAAATAAGTACTCACAACAATCAATTACACACCAACAATTAATGAAATACAATAAAATTAATAAAATACAGACAAAGGACAACAATTAGTTCAATGACAAACTGGAAATCTAATTCTGAACAACATTATATCAAAATTGAACTAATGGCGCATAATTACTAACCAGTAACAATTTATAGAAAAAATTGGATAGAAATTAAGCGTCAAAAACATAATATTAGAATGAAAAGAAAAAAAAAAGAGAGAGAATAATCGAAGTATGGAATGATAAAGAAGATCGGATTATTCGAAGGTGATACATACCTTTTCTTTGTCTGCTGTCGTGAAGTTGATTCAAAGTATTAAATTTTGATTTATTAGAAATTTAAAGATTGGAGTTATTTGGAGAAAAATGGAGGAATACAGTGAACTCAGAACAGCGAACTGAGAGGAGTGAGAAATTTGACGAAGAAATGAGCTCAATTGCTAATCATCGCCCGCGAATCTCCACATAAAGCCCACAAAATTAGAGTGAATTGTCACTTTTGCCCTCAAAGTAAAAAACACAATTTCTTCTCTCAATTCTCTACTTCCACTTTCTCTCTCTAAAAAACTTTCCGAGCGATGTCGAGGCGGCCCGGCAAGGAAGTGGCGGCACAGGCGGCGGGTGGACAGCGGTTTTCCGGCGAGAAGGTATTTTTTATTAATTTTGTGTTTAAAAATAAAAAAAAAAAAAGGTCGGAGGCGGTGGCGGCGCCTAGGCCAGACGCCACCACCGTGGCGGCGGCGTCTAGCCCAGACGCCACTACCACGGCGGCGGCGCCTAGGCCAGACGCCGTGACGGTGGCGGTGGCGTCTGGCCCAGGCGCCAGAACCACGGCACCGACGTCTGGCCTAGGCGCCGCCGCCGTGGTAGTGGCGTCTGGGCTAGACGCCGCCGCCACCGTCACGGCGTCTGGCCTAGGCGCCGCCGCCTTTTTATTTTTTTTTTTAATTTTTTTTTGGTTTTAAATTTGAAATTTAATTTTCGAAAATAATTATTTTTTTTTTGATTTTTTTTTAAATTTGTTTTTCTTTTTTTTAATTTTATGTTCTTGTTTATTGTTCTTGTTTTTTTTTTTTTTGAATTAGTTTTTTTACTTAAAAAAAATTTTATGTTCCCTTTTTTTTGTTATAAATTTTTTTTAAAATTTTGATGTTCTTCTTTTTTTAAGTTTTTATAATTTTATATTTTTCACTTTGTTTTTTCCAATTTGTTTTTTTTGGGTAATTTTTTTTTTTGCTTTGTTTTTTCCAATTTTTTATTTATTTATTTATTAGGTTATTAATTTTTTTATTTTTAGGTTGTTAATATTTTGTAATGTTTTTAATTT